TGTGTGTGTGTGTGTGTGTGTGAGTGTATGTGTGTGTGCAGAAAGTGACCCCTGCTGGCAATTAGCACAATTAGTGTTGGGATTCAGACCTTGTTAGCTTTTAGCTGTTGCTCAGGTGGAAAGATCAAATCAGGTAATCAGCCATGATAACCACCTCGGGGCCCTGTGTGTGTGTGTGTGTGTGTGTGTGTGTGTGTGTGTGTGTGTGCGCGTGGGAAGCATCTCTTCCCTCCTGGTGCATGTATCTGTCAGTGTGTGTGTGTATGTGTCGGTGTGTGTGTTCAATGAAGTGGAGGGTGAGCTGGGTGACAGGTGAGTCTTTAACCAAATGAGAAACCAGAAAAACAAATGGAAAGCCTTCCTAGCCTCACGGCAGGCAGAATCTTTCTTCCTTTCTGTTCTCCTGGTGTATTTGTGTGTGTGCGTGTGTGTGTGCGTGTGTGTGCGTGTGTGTGTGTGTGTATTGATGGAGAACGGCATTTTAATGAGTATTTATGAAAATCTCTCGGTGCATCCAGAGCTTGTGTAACGAGGTGTAGATGATGTTTGTGGCTGAGCGGCAGCTCTGCTGTTGGTTCAGGTGGCTCATTATAGAGTCTCAGACCAGTTCACCAGCACTGGGAACCAATAATCTCAGGTTAGCTTGATTAAAGCCTAACGCAGAGAGTAAATGTGCTGTCCACAGTATTTACCACCGCTGGGATTAACATTACATTGTCCACTGCCACAGATGCAGCTATGACAGGAGCCTAGCAACAGGGTGGGCAAAGCAGGCAGTAGCGGTTGATCATGTTTGCATTCATACATACACCTGTATGTGTAGTACAGTAATAGTAATTGTATGATAATAAGTATAGGACCGCACAAACTGACACTCATCAAAATTGTTTATTCAATTGTTCAATGACTATTAATTTCAGCCCTTAGTGAAAGTGACTATATTCATGATTCAATATTTCCTTTTAATAGATAAATCAATTAGTAAATGAATAACCCGATTTGTACCTGATGAAATGTGTAAATGAGTTTGTAAATGCATTAAAGACTGATTTGTCCAATTAAAGAATGAAAAACTGATAACTGGACGTAAGAATCTTTACCTGAGTAATCTCCTCGCCCGCAGGCTGTGTGGTTATCCCCCGTTCTACGATGAAAACGACTCCAAGCTCTTTGAACAGATCCTGAAAGCCGACTACGAGTTTGACGCCCCGTACTGGGACGACATATCAGACTCAGGTGAGCCTTCCAGTTTCCCTTCCTTCTTCCCTCGGCAGTCCTTCCTCCCCCCTTTTCTGTCCAGCATGTGGCACATATGGACCGCACACCACTTCTCCATCATGGCCTCTGACATCATTATCCTGGAATGAACGTACGTGTTAACGTGTGTACATATGTGTGTGTGTGTGTGTTTGTTTATGACTGTGTGGGTTCACTCACCAACACTATGTGCACAGTCTGGTAGTAAAAACACATTTGCATGCCTGGAAATCCAAATTTGAAAAGATATCTTATAAAAAAGTAACATTCTATATAGATGTCAGTCTGTCAGTCGTTCCACCACTTCGTTCCAGACTAAAATATTTCAACAACTGTCATATGGAGTGCCACGAAATCAAGTCCAGACATTTGTGGATGCAAGATGATAAATCCAGATGACTTCGCTCAGACTTTTCCCTTAGCGCCATCAACACAGTGATACTTTTGATTTTGAGTCCCAACAGCTTTTTGACAGATTGCTGTGTAATTTGGTGCAGAAACCCGTGATCCTTTCCTCTTTTCAACAAGCACCATCGCCAGGTCATCCTTTTAATGTGTCATATAAATTGGTTCATAGAAAACCTGCACCAGTCTTTCCCCTCTGCTTAATTAGCAAATGTTTGCCTGATCTTTTTTGAACAATCTTAAATTCAAAATGTGGCTCAGGAGGTAATGGGGGTCGTCCAGTAAGTAGAAGGTTGTGGTTTGATCCTCGGCTCCTCCAGTCTGTATTCTGAATTGTCCTCGGGCAAGATGCTGAACCCCAAACAACCGCTGTGTCGACAGTGTGCGAATGGCGTGTGATAAGCACTAAAAAATACAGGACATTTACCGTTTATACTGGAACCAGGATGTCTATTTAAATAAATGGTGCTCCATTTGCTCATGCACTTAACAATAACTGAAATGTCTGTAATAACTAATCCTATTAGTGTCACAAATTGCGTTTTGAAGTTGTTTAGTTCAGAAATCGTGCGGAAAAATGTATTTCATGTTGGTGTGTGTACAGTTCTTTGACTTTTCTTTTTCTCTTAGCCAAGGATTTCATCAGCAGTCTGATGGAAAAGGATCCAACCAAGCGTTTCACCTGTGAACAGGCACTCAGACACCCTTGGTGAGAAACACACGCACATGCAGTGTCAAACAGACTAAAAAAAAGGCCTTAAATCAATACAGGTATTGATGTACTGTCAGAGGTGTTAACAGAGAATTTCTGCGTGTGTGTGAATATAATTAGGATCGCTGGGGATACGGCTCTCTGCAAGAACATCCATGAGTCAGTGAGCCGACAGATCAGGAAGAACTTCGCCAAGAGTAAATGGAGGGTAAATTGAGTTTACTCCACTTTGTTGTCTGTGGTCTTGGCTAACTTGTTGCAGACTGTTGTATAACTCCGGTACACCTGGCTCACCATATGTTCAGGAGTAAACCACATTCCTCCTGAAGCTCTTGGAAGAAAAGAGTCACCTGCTGACATGAAAGAGATTACACTTTCCTGAAGAGCTGCTCCTCACACAGTCCGTCAGTTTCAGCACATCGTTGTTCCAGTTTTTCATCCATCTTGACTCAGATGTTATTGATGGAAGATTAATGTATCGTGGTTTCTTCATTGAAAGCAGATTGTAGTAACTCTGAAAGTCTCTATGACATGAAAAATCACAGAAAATAATCCCCTCTCCCACTCGTGATTCAGTGCATTGATGTGTGTCACATATGTCACATTGTAATAAAAATGGCTTTTATGATGACCAAGAATTCAAGGTTTGTTTATTCATCTTTCCATTTCCATCCTCTCCCCAGCAAGCGTTCAATGCCACCGCAGTGGTTCGGCACATGAGGCGGCTGCAGCTTGGCAGCAGCATGGGCAGCAGCATGGACGCCTCCAACCAGCCGACCAGGCAGAGCCAGGCGCAGAAGCCGGCCCAGAGCTCGAGCCAGGCGGTTCAGAACCAGTCAGCTCAGAGCCAAAACACAGCGCAGAGCACCAACATAGCCGCCAGCAAAACCTCTTCCACTGACAACAACATAGCAGCGCCACGCAAGGAATGTGAGTATGAGTCTGGGGTGTCAGAACATACGTACTTGACAAAAAGTGAAAGACTGGATTATTCACTGAAACCTTCAATTGTCCAATTCTAGTTTAGAAACCGAAACAAAAGAAATGCTCTGTATAAGAAGATCTAGGAGAGTAGTGGCATTTCCAAACCAAAGCACAAGAGCAAAAATGTAGATATTGGATTAAACAGTGTGTTTATCTGGTTTGACGTGAGCAGTAAACGTTAGTATGACCCATTCATTGAATATAACGATGGACAAAGCGTCTCCAGTTCCTGACACTATCCAGAAATGAAGCCAAAATATCCTGGAAGCGAACGCTGTCATCTTGCGCCGATGACGTCATTTTAGCTGACAAAAACAATCACCAGGTAAAAAGGAGACAATAAACTATGGCTGCATTTGGAGCGATCTGTCATCACAAACTGCGGACTTGCTAGTTTCAAAGTGAAGCAGGACAAAGTGAACCGTTTTAAAAACATGCTGCTGATTTAACAGCTAACTTTTCCCTCTCAGGCGTGACTGCGCCCGTCACACCCTGCAGTCTGGCGTCCGCGGCCTCGTCTCCCGCCACCGGGGCAGAGCTGAACCGGCCACATCCCTCAGCGGTGCCGGCCCCAGTGCTCACGGAGACCAAGTGACGCCAGGTCCCGCGGGGAACCAGCTGGGAGGCCACAGCACTGTGAGGCAAAGAGAAAAGAGGACACCTGAAGAAGAAGAGGATCGCCCCCTTCTTCGTCCTTCTCTTCACCGTACTTCCTCTTGGATGCCGTCCAGCCAGTTCCCCGCCCTGCTCCCGGGAGAGCAGAGGACTTTTCCTCCACTCCACCGATTCAAGCCACACAGCGCCATACTGTAAGCCCACCCACCCACCCATCCACCAGAACAGCAGCAGCATGGCCTCTGACTAACAGTGCGGATCTTTGTGCGGCCGGCTGTGGTTGGTTGGCATTTGATGATGAGTGTCGACTGCCCTGAAATCGAGCAATGATCAGTGGCTCAGGAGGGGCGGTGGTATCATATTATTCAATGTCAGTCAACATCAACTTCCCTCTTTAATCTAGTCTTTCTTGCAACACTTTGTTTAGCTTTTCTCCAATCTTAGGTTTGACTGTTGGTAACTGGATCGTTTTCTATTTTACTATTATTAATGTTCATTTTAAAGGTGCTATGTGTAACTTGAAACAAATATATCATTGTCAAACTGATCGCACTACTTTGGTATTATAGCTGTAAATAAAAAAGACCAGAGACAAGATGACAGCTTGCTATTAATTGCGGGACAATTTGTCAAGATTAAGACCCCATTTCCCATAACCCCCCTTGTTTCATCTCCAATGATCACCACACTCTCTGAAATCAGTAACTTTCTCTGTGAACCAATCAAGAGGATTTAAAGTCAGAAAAGAGGCGGGCAGACTTCTGAATAATGACATCACGAGTTTACACAAATCCCATTAATGTTGTAAACTTAATTGACAATGATTTATCCATGTGAAAATGTTTCACATGGCACCTTTAAGACTTTTTCTACGTCCTTATGGGCTTTTTGTTTGTTCGTGCTTTAAGAAGTGCTTTAAAAGTACCATACGACTGTTGAGATGTGAAAACACAAGTAAGCGTTTTACCTATTTTGCACAGAGAGGGCCAGATATGTTCTCAGACACAGATAAGCCGCACTCCACTTATGTTTTTCATACAGAGATTAGAGATTGTAAAATTTCAAAAACAAAAAAACTACAGAAACCCAGGGTGGATTTCAAAGCATTTCACTACTTGTATATTGTCTGGAACGTTCTGATTTATTCTGATTTATTTATTTTTATTTTTACTTTATAAGAGTTTTATAACAATCACCCTTAAAGGGGAACACATACAGGTTACTAAGAAGCATGCAGCAAGTTAAGGATAGGTTAGGAGGAGATATGTATTTACTGGAAAAACTGCCTCCAGCTGAGAATGTTTGTGACTGATAGCTCACATTTCACTTCCCAAACGAAGGAGCCACAAGCAGCACAGGGAGCTACAGGACATAAAAATGTCATGTTATATTCACCGGCCTCCCACGTGAACCTTCTAAGTATTTTGGCCCGTGTGGAGTCAAAAAAACCAGGTTGGAGAAGCTGCGGCCTCCCGTTGTTCCGTCCCCCTCTAATGAAGCCATGATCTCCCCTTCCTCGCGTCATGAAGCTGTACACAGATCAGAAGTGCTCAGGGAAAACCGCAGCTGTACTGTGTGCTTGCCAACGCTGGTTTCCTGGTTTAGGTGTTTCCATTATTGTCCAGGTGATGTGGCTTCACGGTTAAAGATCCAGGGCTCAAGACGTTAGCCGTGTCCTTACTGCAGAGTTGTAGTGACATGGCTTTTTTTTCCCTCAGTGCTACCGTCACGTCTCACCTGATCACCTGTTTGGTTAATAGGCCAAATATCAAAAACAGAAAATGGCGTAGAGCACATATACCCCCGCAAAGGCCCAACAGTCCCCATAAATTCTATCAAGCTGCACCAAAGTGCACACAATCAAAGATATCAGTCCCTTAAATGTGCCTGATCTTTTATAATCAAGATAAAATTGGTGAAAAATTTCAAAAGCTATTCTATCTCACAATGTTAAAAGAAAAAAGGGATACAAAATGGTTTTTGTCTGGATCCACGGCAAGATTTAATGGGTTCTCTCTTGGCTCACGTCCCACAGACAGTAACAAAACAACCAACAAGGGCCGGGGTGAAAACATAAACTCCTTGCTTGAGTTGAAATTCCATCATCAGTGGAGTCTCTGTCTGGCTGCGACAACAGAAATAGTCCGACTTTAAGTTGCTGAAGTGAACTAAAACGTAAGGGCTGAATTAATCTGAGAGACATTATTGACTTTTGACTTCCTCTTCCTACTCTGTAGCCATTTGCCTTTTTTGCTCTGCTGAAATCTATCTGCAAATTATTCTCCGTGCTTGTTTTAATCTGTATGAGGTGAAGTGCCAGTAACTCAACACTCACCCAAGCTGTCTGGAATTCACCTTGGCTCACTGCGTTGTTTTTGTGTGTGTGTGTGTGTGTGTGGATGTGTTCAGCCCAAACTATCTGGCACTGATATCGACTTAAACAAAACATGACGAGGCGTTTGTGAATGTTGTCCAATCTCAATCTGTCTCCCTCGCTAACCTCGCTCTGGGAGGACAATTCCAGTTTTTGGTTTTTTGCAAC